CTCATTTCGTAGACCGCTCGGTTTGCTGTTCCTTCACTTTATTTTTATATTTATATACATTTGTTGTGAACGAAAACTTAGCGTGAGGAAAGGCATGTGTGGCGTGAGTGCGTGAGATATGTGTTAATTGCGTGACTCTCACGCTCAATGCGTGAGTGTTGGCAGCCCTGGTTCACACCGCCCAGCTGCCGCTGCTGCATCATGACGTCACCGTTTACATACCTGCCAACCCTACCGATTTGGGCGGTAGTCTACCGCTTTTGACATGTTTCTACCGCCTACCGACTTAGCTGACTCTCCCTACCGATTTTCAATCTTCCCAAACTATAACAAATAAAAATGACACTACATAGACACTGGACTCGACTTTTGGCGGACACCGTTTGCAGCGTGTCTGTGATCCCATCATACAAACAGTCCTCTGTGTTTCAGTCGATCGCGAGATGTGTCTAAAAATAGAACAACAATATTCTGTTTTATCGTTAATGTCCTATAACATAATCTTCCTGTGCCAGAATAATGCACATGAACGCATCAAAGCTTTGTGATTGGCGTGACCCCATGTATCGGGGCGTGGCTGTAGGCAGTGGGCAGTGGGCACTAGTTTGCTGTGCAGTCCGCACACACAAGACCACAATTATGGCAGAAGCAAAAGAGCCCAAAATATATAATTTTCACTCTGTATCTATTCCAATTCAAAGTCTATCTGTCTCATCTGCAATGCGAGCGTGGCTTTATCGAAGAAGGGTAATTTAGGAGCGGCATTTCAAAACAGTGCACAAACGTTACGAGACGGAATTCCCTCCTAATTCTGCCCTACGCTCCCAAAAGGTGAGGGACCTGAAAGGACAGCTAAATGCACAGCAGTCCATTTTCACCAGGCCCAACAACAAGAGCAAGGCTGCTACCATAGCATCTTATCGTGTCAGTCACGTTCTTGCGAAACACATGTAGTCTTTCAAAGACGGCGAGGTTGTGAAAGAAGCATTCCTGGAGGCTGCGGACACGCTTTTTGGGGACAGTAAAAATAACAGTAGCATTTCAACAGGTTTTTGATATAATAAAAACTCAAGTTAGATACCGTTATTAATCAGCTGTAAGTTTTAGTTTGTTTGAACTTATTCATTATAATTATTGTACAAAATGGTATAAGAATGCAAACTTTAAGATCTGTTCTGTTTAAATTGAGTATAGTCTATTATCAATTCAGGTTAAGAAACTAGTGTTGCTTGCATCCTATTTTAAAGGCATTTCTTTTTATACTCTACTAAAATGCAAAAAAAAGAAAAGGGTTTGATTCTATTAATTTAGTCTTTTTTATTGCACTCTGGCAGCAGATTCCTGTGTAGCTTCAGATCTGAGTTGTCTTATTAGTAAAACTAATTTATACTTTTGTAGCAACACTATTTTTATATAATGGCAAAGAAAGGGTTCAGAGTCTTTTCTTTTTTTCCTGTGTCATATGTGGCAGCACTGTTCAATGTTTCTTGAAAACATTACCCACTGTAGTATGTGACGTGTGAATAAACTCCTACTCTGTATCAACAACACTGTTGTGTAACTTCAGTTAAATACTTGTGTGTGTGTAGATTAGAAAGAGGTAAGATAAAGGATCTGCAGTATTTTATGAAGTATTAATCGTACAAAGGTCAGTTTTATACAAGTAGAAGTGTGTATTTACCTGGTAGTCGGCTGTCAGTAATGGCTACACCTCTCTATTTGGACTGGTAGATCTCGGCAGACTGGCCACTTTAAAAGTAGCTCTCGGTTCAAAAAAGGTTGGGCACCCCTGATCTACACTGTCAAGGTTCAAGGTTCTTTATTGTCAAACTAACATAGCTACAGAGTAATTATGTCGTTGAAAATCTTATGTCACAGGCTTCTCCAACAATGCAACTGAAAGAGGACCAGAAACACATTAAAAATATAATAAAATGTGGAGACTTTGGGATATTTATCTCCCATTCTTTTACTTTTCGGGCATTTTACAGACCAAACATGTCGTTGATGTCACTGTTTAGTGTTTACCAAACTACCACTTTTTCTGAAAAATGCATAAAATGATGCAATATATGTTAAATACATGGTTTATACATGTAATTACTGGGGTTCTGATTACCTAATTTGAGCGTGCACATTTGCCACGCGCAAACCTACCTCTTTTGGATTTGGAAAGGTTGGCATGTATGCGTTTACCTTTTCTTTTAATGTTTATTTTATTATCTTTCCTTTTTAATGACTGATTTTAAATGCCATTTTTAAAATGTCTTCCATTTTTGTAAAGCACTTTGAATTACCTTGTGTTGAAAGGTGCTATATAAATAAACTTGCCTTGCCTTGCCTTGCCTTGCCTTACATCGCTGATTTTCTCCCCAACGGAGCTCACAACAACAACAACGGGGGGGGGGGGGGGGGGACTGCGTCGGGTCGATGATGCAACACAGTCTCACGGCATTTCGTGTTATAGTCACGAAATTAATCTATTGATTCGTGTTCACCAACACGATTTCGCCATTTTTTTCGTGTCACACAGAACGATTTTAAAAGCAATGTAAATAATAACAAATTAGAAGGAAAAACACATTTAAAAAAATACAGATTTAAGTATTCAATGTATTTCTATTGGTAGTATGTTTCGTGCCTGCACCAAATAATAACAAATTAGAAGGAAAAAAAGATGACATAAAATACAGATTTCAGTATTCTGAGGCTCTGAGCCATTTCTTTTCCTCACTGACGGCAAAAAAACTCAGACATTATACAATTTCAAATAAAAGGGATAGGGTTAGGCTTAGGGTAAGAACATGTTTTTATGAACCACACAGCTTCTGGTCTTCCAAGACCTGACCGGACAAAAAGACGTGTTGCAGGCACGAAACATACTACCAATAGAAATACATTGCATTTAAAATCGTTCTGTGTGACACGAAAAAAATGTGAAAATCGTGTTGGTGAACACGAATCAATAGATTAAATTAATTTCGTGACTAATAACACGAAATGCCGTGAGACTGGGTTGGATGATCGTGTTGCTTTTAATCATACGAAGCCAGATTAAATTAAATAACGACTTCTCCAACCTTATACTTTTCTCCAGAGTGCCGTGGTTCATTGTTTATTAATGTGTTTCAGCGGCATTTACCGACCGCTGCAGTGCTGGCTGCTCTTCCACTGGAGTTTATTCTCCCGTTAGCTCCGGGTTAGCTCACACGGCTCTAAAGTATTCACTGTCTGACTGTCACACAAGCAGCTGATACATATCCCCAGTTCCCCTTAAGTGAATGTGTGTCAGTCTGAATTGACGCTGTTTGGCATCACAACGCTGTTATGAAAGTTTCTCTGGTATAACATGGGTGATGTTAGCATAGCAACCGAAGCTAAACTGACTACTTGCTATGCCGTTTTCTACAGGCACATTTTACCGGCGTATTTTTCATTATGATTCTACTTGTGATAGTCGGACATGACAACCTGTGCAGCCCATGTATTGATTCCATCCGATAGCTGCTATAATAACAAACAAAACTGCCTGCTCTCCACTGTGGAGGAAACTTCTGTGTAGCAATGCATGGAGTCACCGACTCAGGAAGGAGACACGGTGAGAGTTGGAGCTTTGATGTCAAACACTGATGGGTTTATTCAGAGTATTCGGCCGGAGGATTCACATCACAAATCAAAGAGTCAGAGGTTCTGACCACACGGTAGAGTTGCCACGTCAATTCTGAAGAACCTCTCTCTATACTAGACCTTTTAACAGGTTCACAGAGAGAAATCAACATCTCTGAAGGAGTAGACTAAACACTGAATCACCTGCGTCCGACGCTCATGGCCTCAAGGATTTCACATCCTAGAGCCCACAAACACCGATAAAGAAGTGCCTCAGTGTTCCCACAACAATTACCCTTCGTGCCAGTCAAGTTGACCGGTCACACACTGGTGACAACACATATGGCACCAAGGCCTTTCCTTAAAGGAGATAACACGTCACAGAGCAAAAGGTTAGATATCTAGAAGAATTATTCCTTAACATCCACAATGATCAATAACAGCGAACGGATGGTCAAAGTAAGGTACAAATTTCCTGCACGCCTCGACGTAAGAGAGACGTAAGCGGCGCCGCGTCATAGCTCCGGAATGCGGTTCACTTCCGAGCCGGAGCTGGAAAAGCGCCGCATTAATGGGGCTTTGGACCACAAAGTCCTCACCTCCTTTTGTAAAGGCTACTTGTTTAGGTGTGAATGAGCAGGTCAGCCAGCCCATCACAGATCTAATCAATCTGCCAGGCATGATTCAGCAATTCAAATGCAAGATCTGGGGAATACAGGCAGGATATTCAAAGAGTAGATTGAGAAAAACAAGAATATGCTAAATTGTTTTGAGCCATGGATAGAACCAGTATATGTAAAAGCCTAGAACTGTCATGATTTTAGTTTTGTGTGTTTAGTTATGGGTTTATTTTGAAATTCTGTTCTCCCTGTGTTTGCCCTCCTGTGTTTGCCCTCCTGTGTCTGATTGTGCCTCATTTGTGTTCACCCGTTGCCCTTGTCTGATCTTCTTCTTTCATGTCCTCCTTGCACCTCTGTTTGTTCCTGTCAGTTTTTGTCTAGATGCTACCAGTTTTTGGATTTATTCTTGTTTCATGGTCAACAGCTTTTTTGTTAAATAAAGCTCGCTTTTTGTTTAAAACCCGCTTCTACTCATCCTGCATTTGGGTCCTGATTTTCCCCAACCTTGACAAGAACCTGAAACCACATTTTACAACTTAAATAAAAAACACAAAGCTGCACATATGCGTGTGGAAAGTAAGACACAGTTAAGGTTTGTTAACACAAAGTGAGCATTTTATGAGTTCAATGACTTATAACTTTAGAAGAAGCCTAAATAATACAAATCATTTGGATTTATATAGCGCATTTCAAGAAACCCAAGGAGGATTTTTGTCCCCCCACGGCAAAAAGGAAAAACAAATATGAAGATAAAAAACTGAAATAAACAAAAGCTGGTCACAAAAATCTTAGTGTTTATTTGGTGGGACTATTTGGCTAGTTAAGCATTTGTTACAAACAAACAGCATTTCTCAATTCACTCAAAGTTCTTGAATGCTTTTAGGCTGAGAGCTATCTTAAGTTCTTCACCACCATCTCAACGGCACAAAAGAAACCTATTTAAATCGACCTACACTGTGCTTACTGTATGCAAACAAAATAGTCCTTTTATTTCTAGAGAAGTAGGCCTACAATGGGCAGCAATGAATGATCAACTGATCAAGGACCTGTGTGTACTTTTTAGCAAGTTAGCAAGCAGAAGCACAACGCTTGAATCCAGAATTTTCTGTGAATTATTAAGTATTTATTTTCAAGGTAAAAAATGGTGACAAAAATATAAGATTGGTAAATAAATGCAATTGATTGTACATTGAAGATAAACATGAGGTATCAGCTGTATGAAGAGGCAGTTCTAAAAATGTTATAGTAATATAACATTATTTCTAAAATACAATTTCAGACAACTTCATGAGAATAGGACAAATGCTAGCTGATTAAGAGTTAAACACAATTCATTTTTACAAGCAGTTATAATGCAGTGCCCTAGCTCCATTACTCATTGGTGTCTAACGGCACACAGCTCATGAGGTGACGGGCTGAGGGTGAAGCCCACAGCTGGAGTGAGATCCAGTTCATCCTCTGTAACTCCAGGTGGAGGAGTGTAACGAAAGCGCTGGAGGAGGAAGGTGAAGAAGAGGAACAGCTCCATCTTGGCCAGACTCTCTCCCAGACACACCCTGCGACCTTTGAGAGAAAAATAGATTTGCATGTTGGTAAACTGGATCGCATCTTTAGAATGGTAATATATTTAAATACAAAGTTGGTACCTGCAGAAAATGGCATGAAGGCATCTCTCCTGAAAAAGTTACCCTCCTTATCCAGGAAGTGGGAAGGGTTGAAAGTGTGTGGTGTTTCCCATTCACTCTCATCATACAGGACAGAAGTAAGAAGAGGAAGCACAGTAGTCCCCTGTAGGAAAAAGCGGAGGGCAAGGTGTATCATAACAAGTATGGAGAGAATGAGAATCTCCGGCATATTTTGTTGTGGCTAAGTATTGAAACACCTTAACACCTGACCTCTTTGATGAAGTATCCTTGGAAGGTGACATCTCGGCTGGTTTTATGAGGAATGGCCATGGGGACAATGTTGGCCAGTCTCTGTATCTCATGGATGACAGCATCAGTGTACGGCAGGTTCTTCCGGTCATCGACCCCTGCCTGACGGCTTCCTATCACTCTGCTCATCTCCTCCTGGACCTGGTCTGAACACAGAAAATCAATAACTGTTAATAATATGTATATTAATAAGTTATTTGTATCTTGACTAAGAGTTCACATCCCTGCCAGTGGCTTTGTGAAGCTGTACTTTTGGGGGTAAAATGCTAAAGTCAGTATGCTAACCTGTTCAAAATGACGATGCTATCAGATGTATCGTTTACCATGTTTACCATAATGGTTTATAATCACTAAACGCAAAGTGCAGCTGAGGCTGATGGGAATGTAATTTGCGTTACATTTCCTCTGCCTTCGAAATCTACAGAAGAAAATGTTTCTGTAATATAGTTTAAGTAAGACTGGTATTCCCTGAAATTAGCTTGAAAATAAAGCCTGCATAAAAACACAATCTGTAAAAAATAGAAAAAAAGGTAAAAGCAAAAAAAAGGTTTCAAAAGGGTAGTGACTTAAGAGGGAGGACTAAAACTACTGTACTCTTGTTATCTCCCGAAGGTTACTTACTTAGCTTTATTTCAATGCCTGCTACTTTCCCTTTAAGTGGTTTCCAGCATAATGGTTTATCGTAATATATATATATTTGAACTTATATAATAACAACCACATTTTAATCTATCTAAACTTGATTTATTTGATGGGCATCCACAGGTGCAAATATAAATGCACGCCTACAAGCCTCATCTTTCTTTTACCTTGTACATGCGGATATTTAGCCATAAGCAGCAAACCCCATCTCAGTGTAGTTGCTGTGGTGTCGGTACCAGCAGAAAACAGGTTGGTTATTGTAAATATCAAATTCTTCTCGTTGTAGTGAGTGTCCTTCACACAAGAGTCCTGAGAGAAAGAGCACCCACATATTGTTATAAAATACAATGTTCTCTTTGTTTGATGCATATGCAGTGAGGTTGTCTTACTTCTTCTTTCTCCTTCCGAATCAGAAAACAGTCGACAAGCCCTCTGCAGACGCTAGGGTTCAGAGTCTCTTTCAGATTCTTGACTAAAGCCTTGACATCTCTTATGGTCATCTCAACATTTCGTAAAAGCAGCTGACGGTTATTTATCCAACTGACCAGCCTGGGAAAAATGTTGTAGAGCTGTGAAAACAAAGATTAATGAAGAAAATCCACACCCAACATATATATACTGTACAGTGTATTCAATGTTAAGACACACCTGATCAGTAATTTGATACAGTAAAATAAACGTTTCCCATCTCCATACCTTTAGTTTCAATCATTCTTTTATTGTTTTGTCAGTTAAATGTTACCCTAAAGCAACTATTTAAGCTGATACTAGAATGATGCTCCACCAGCACCTTTAAAGAGATAATGGATGTTTACCCAAACATACAACAACACACACATTTCTTACACCAACCAGCCCAAATCTGTATAAAAGACCTGAAGACAGTACTAAACCTTCCATTGGACTTTCTGCTAAAAGCTTATGGTGTTGACCATTTGCAAAAATATTCAACAAAAGCTTTCATGTTGTCCCTAAATCATGTATTTTTCAACCGAAGCAGTATGAGGCCTACCTGGATTTGTGCAGATCCAACAATGCATATGGACTGGTTGGCTCTTCTGACCATTTCCTTGAATCTGGGGTCATTGTATTCGAATCTGCTGCCATACACGATAGAGGAGATGATATTGGATGTTGCATAATTCAACGGACGCGCTGTATCAAATGGTTTCCCTGTAAAATGGCATTGAGAATACTGATATTATTAGGATTTCAGAAGAAAACAAAGAGGGCAAGCCTTTTAATATTAAAATGAACCTCACCATGATTTGCCTTTGCTACAACAAAACTGTAAAACATGGGTGATGAATAAAAAAATGCTTTTTACTCCATACCTTTGTGATCTTCAAACATTTGGGTCAGATGGTGGCATTCCTCTAGGATTTTTTGCTCCGCTATTCTTTTGCCCATGCCAAAGTCTCTCAGGGTGCTGAGGGCAAAACGTCTCAGCTCTTTCCATGATTCTCCATTTGCAAACAGGATTCCTTTTAAACATGACATGCATGTTAAATATAATCTGTAGTAGTCATGTCTGTATTATTCAACACAATATTCAAGTGTAATTTGACTCACACAAATAAATGGTAGGTATTATCACTACAATGTTTTTTCTATTGTTTGAAAGATACTGTATATTAAAGATTATGTAAAGGTAAATCCTACCGTGACCTTCATTCATGTCATAAAAAATAGGGGAGATTTCTCTTTCTCCAAACGCTTCTGCATTGCTGACCAGAGCATCCTTTACCGACTTGTATCCAGCCAGCACCACCACTTTATTGGTTCCAAAGTATACCGTAAACACAGACCCATATTTCTTTGAAAGCTGTTAAAAAATGTAAAAAATTAGAGATGGCGTAAGTAAACATGTTTTTGCATGACCTGCAAGTGAATCACTACAACTGTAGCGGCCAAAATCATATAGAAATAAAACTGATAATTAACTTAAAATAACACTGCCGCTGAGGCACTAGTTAGCGGAACTTACGGAGGGCAATGATCCAGGTCTAGACAAGAGTATCCGTTTGTGCATTTTATTATGATCCAATATCATTCAACAGGTTTCCTATGGTTTGTTCCTTAAGCCTTTCCTATGGCTTTCCTTTCTTGTGGCTGGAAAACCCTGGTAAAAAAAACCGTTTGCCTACTAGTGCTCTGGCTCCCACCACCACCTGTCTCCAATATATACAATTACACCAGGTGCTCTAATCACCCAGTGCCCAAACATGCCTTAAAAATAAAAGCATAGAAACTACTTTAACTTACGACAATAACTAGGAATAGGCTACATTTACAATAAACACTATAAACAGCAAGAACATAAATGTTTAAGTATTACATAATATAAAGAGATATATAGCTCCAACAACAACAACTGTATCAAAATGGATTTGCTTTAGGATAGCTCACCTCATAGAGGGTTTTGTAGGGTCTCTTGAGATCAAGCTGCAACAGGTTACCAAGCAGGGGAAGAGGCCTCGGTCCTGGGGGCCCCTTCCCTATTTCCTTGGTGATTAAACTACTGGATACAAGATAGAGAATGAGCAGGAGAGCCACCAACCCCAACAAAGTGGTGGGATTAGAGAAAAAGATGAGAACAAAATCGTGCCAAAGAGACATTTGTTCTGCTGTTGACAGTGCTTAGCCCTGCAGATAACACCGTGGTGTTCACGCTCCTCATGCAAGCACAAATAATATGGAATGTTGTTGACTGAGCTTTAGGTAAAGGAGCATTATGGGCTGGTCCCCGCCCACGAGGACGGTGTTTGTGACACAGATCCAATCCTGGCAGTCAAAGCAGAAGGACTTGTTTTAATGAAACCATTCGGGCCTATGTTAGGGGGTGCGAGGAATAGTCCAAGTAATGGGGGAGTTTTATACAATCAGCAAGTCAATATTTTAAAAGTGGAAGGACCTTAGTAGCCTTCATGTAAACATATGCTGTAGCATTTCCTATTTTGATTTATTTTATTACCAAACGTACATTTAAAGAGAACAAAAACAGCAATAGAATGCAAGGCTTTAGGAAAAATATGTTTATGTGCCATCTTGACCATAGTAGGCAGATTAAAAAATATATAAAATCTTCCTTATTTTGTATCACAACAACTAGAATCATGCCCTGTTAGTTTTCATATCTCTTTGCTAACTGATAAAGAGTATTATAAAACAAATCACTTTCCCGTTTACATGTATGAGAAGCAAACATATTCTAAGTATACTGCACGGTTTACTTGTTTTTATGAATACACTTGCATTTCTAAAAGGTGCAATTCATCTAATGACCTGCACTGGAGGATTGGCATGCAAGAGCAGTATTTTAATCTTTAACCAGAACTACCACAATTAAACTGAACAAGAAAAGGTATGGCAACATTTAAAATGTATGTTAGCATATTTTACCAAAACCAAAATACTAATATAAATAACTAAGCATAAGATGGGGGAGGGAATAGTAATGAAGGGGGGAGGGGAGGTTAGTAAAAACATTTTAATTATTTATATGTGTCATTTCTGCTGCATTATCAAATAAAGATGTATTTAAACGGAGCAGCTCATACTGGAGCAGTGAGAGACGGCTGGCTACCGAGTGATAAGAAGATTGATTAATTGGAGATGACAGTCGTCTGCCAACAGGGAAGAAAACATCTAAAAAGGATGAAAACATGTATGCTTAATGAGGTCCCTTTTGAGTGGCCTGGTAGTAGTTTAAAGGAATGAATAGTGTGGAATGTACAGCAAGCACACCTCCTCCTGTTGGTTTGGGGTGACAGACAAAGGCAGTGATACCTGTTGCAATTTAAATCCAAGTATGAACATGATTTGTTTCCCCCTATTATTTTCTACTTTTTTGTCACCCTTCAATATAATCGATTAAAATAATTGCTCCGGTTGTATACCATCAGGGTTCCTTAGATTTTTAGCCAACCGGTAAAATGTCAATGCAGCATTCTCACGCAACATCCCCTCCCACATCGTGGCCCACTGAGTGACCACAAGTGACAAGTCACCGGCTCCCGTCCTCAGTAGCGACTGACAGCACACAGCTCATGAGGGGAAGGGGTCAGGGTGAAGTCCACAACTGGAGTGAGATCCAGTTCATCCTCTGTAACTCCAGGTGGAGGAGTGAAACAAAAGGTGAAGAAGAGGAACAGCTCCATTCTGGCCAGACTCTCTCCAGGACACATCCTGCGACCTTTGAGAACCAAGAGTTTCAGCAAGTTAACTGGATGACATTTCTACAAGTATGTATGTATTATATCTATAAAAGGTTTTTATACCTGCAGAAAATGGCATGAAGGCATCTCTCCTGATAAATGTACCCTCCTTATCCAGGAAGTGGGAAGGGTTGAAAGTGTGTGGGGTTTCCCCATTCACTCTCATCATACAGGACAGAAGTAAGAAGAGGAAGCACACAAGTCCCCTGTAGGAAAAAGCAGAGAGCAAGGTGGTTTAATTTAAAAATGTTGGAACCAAAGCACACAATATCTAACTAAAAGCAAATGTATTTAGGTAATTGACCTCTTTGATGAAGTATCCCTGGAAGGTAATGTATTGGCTAGTTCTGTGGGGAACGGCCATGGGGACAATGTTGGCCAGTCTCTGTGTCTCATGGATGACAGCATCAGTGTACGGCAGGTTCTTCCGGTCCTCAACTCTGGCCTGACGGCCTCCTAACACCCTGCTCAGCTCCTCCTGGACCTTGTCTGGACTCAGATAACATCAAGATTAAGTTGGATCAATATCGAAATACAAATAAATGGTCTTCAAGAGGAAACACTGTAAACTGAATATTTCACCTTGAAAAACTCCACCGAAGTGTATTTGATGTAGTATCAGTCCCAGCAGCAAACAGGTTTATCACACTGTAGACCAGGTTCTCATCATTGTAGTGTGAATCTTTGATATTGGTCTCCTAATAAAAACATAAATAAAAGACTATAGTGACCATGAAGGATAACACATGCAAATGAAGGAATATCTTCACCATTAGACAAGCACAGCAAAAAGCTCACAACACAATGGAAACTGTTTCCAGGGGAAACTTAAAAGTGAAGCACATGGCTGTAACAGCTTGCTGTTTTTATGGCTGAAGAAGTTATTGCTTATGAAATCGGCTCTCTATTATTGTGATCACATGATTCAGATATAATATCTACAGACCATTTTATTATGGCATTACAACTGCCGCAACATGTAACCAAATGAGATTCAAAACATTATAGTCCTGAATCCATGACAACATGATTATTGCGCGTGGATCACTTTATGTGTCATCCAGAAACAGTTTCCGTTGTGTGGTAAAGATTTTACCCTGTTGTGTCAATGTGCAGTGTGAGGATCTCTCAGGGCCACAGGCAAATTAATCAGTGATCAGTATCATCAACCGGGGTGGTTTCACTGGAGTTAGACATATTACCTCAAGACTCAGTTTACGGGTCAGGAATGCATCCACAAAGCATCGGCACATGTCAGGGTTCAGAGTCCCCTTCTCCGCTATCATGCTCTTTGTTTCCTTTATGCTGTCCTCCACCAGTTTCATCAAATCCCTCCAGTTTTTAATACAAGGTCCCAGCCAAGGAAACGCGTTGTATATCTGTAATACAGCAGAATACCAAACACATTCATTGTTTTAGGACTTAATGTAACAATTATGACAGCCATGAGATCTCAAGCCCCAGCTAGTAATATTAGAATAATGTTTTTGTTTGATTAAACATTTACAACTTAGCCATTTTAATTAGTAGCTCTTAAGTGTTAGGTTTTTCTTCATCACAAGTTAGTCAATCTGAAATCAGTCTGTAGTACCAGAATGGATGCTGTTCCCCTAAGACGGATGGTTTCATGGTCTCTTTCCAACATAGCTTGGATGTCAGGGTCCTATCCTATTCAAATCTCTTTCCAAACACGAGAGAGGATATAATATTGGAAGCTGCGTAATTAATTGTCTTGGTGTTATCGAAGGTTTTACCTAAGAAAAATAGAGCACGCGAGTAATTTATTCAATGTTGCTGTATAAACCCATGTTGTGTTTAAGTGGAGATAATGTTACCTTCATGCTGTTGAAATTCTTCAATCAGGTAGCCACATTCTTCAATTATTTTCCCTTCAGTTATCCTTTTGCCCATCCCAAAATCTTTCAGCGTTTCTTTCCACACTTCGCCATTGGAAAACAGTATGCCTTGATAGAAGAGTTTTTTTTACATGTTTAGACAAGGACAAAATCAGGCTAGTAAAACAAAACAAAGAAACATTTCTTTACCGTGTCCTTTGTTGAAATCATCGAATATTGGAGTGACTTCTCGTTCTCCAAACTCCTCAGCATGGTTGACCAGAGCCTGTTTGACTGTCTTGTATCCTGCCAGGACCACCACCTTCTGCATTCCTAAGTAGACTGTGAACACTGGTCCATATTTTTTGGACAGCTAAAAAGATGGAGCAATAAATAGTGAGACTGACTGTCCACAGACTCTCCTCTGTAGGAATTCTAATTGAATTAACAATGTTAAAATACAGTTTTATTTGTCTCATATTAAAGCAATGAAAATACCTTATAGCTTAAGACAAACAAAACAGTTGTCACATCAACAAGAGAGTGGTCGAGTCTCTTGAGATCCACCTGAAGCAAGTTTTCAAGCAGGGGAAATGGTCTAGGCCCCGGTGGCTCCCTCTTCCTGCTTTTGGAGCTGAAGCTTGAGTAAACAAGATGGAGGACAAGCAGACCCACAATGGCCACAGACAAAAAGACTGAAGTGCTAGACTGGAAAAGATCCTCTAACATGATCCTGCTGTCACCGGGACTTGACTTCCTTTAGAAAATATTGTCGTCGAACAGCTGTTTTCAGTGTTCAAGGAAGAAATAAATGCTTGATTGTCCCATACAGGTCTTCTAGTTTTTCCTCAAGTTTCTGTCAAGATGTAGCCTTTCTATTCCTCTCTTAATGGGGCTTTGGACCACAAAGTCCTCACCTCCTTTTGTAAAGGCTACTTGTTTAGGTGTGAATGAGCAGGTCAGCCAGCCCATCACAGATCTAATCAATCTGCCAGGCATGATTAAGCAATTCAAATGCAAGATCTGGTGAATACAGGCAGGATATTCAAAGAGTAGATTGAGAAAAACAAGAATATGCTAAATTGTTTTGAGCCATGGATAGAACCAGTATATGTAAAAGCCTAGAACTGTCATGATTTTAGTTTTGTGTGTTTAGTTATGGGTTTATTTTTGAAATTCTGTTCTCCCTGTGTCTGGTCTTTCTGTGTTTGCCCTCCTGTGTCTGATTGTGCCTCATTTGTGTTCACCCGTTGCCCTTGTCTGATCTTCTTCTTTCATGTCCTCCTTGCACCTCTGTTTGTTCCTGTCAGTTTTTGTCTAGATGCTACCAGTTTTTGGATGTATTCTTGTTTCTTCATGGTCAACAGCTTTTTTGTTAAATAAAGCTAGCTTTTTGTTTAAAACCCGCTTCTACTCATCCTGCATTTGGGTCCTGATTTTCCCCAACCTTGACAAGAACCTGAAACCACATTTTACAACTTAAATAAAAAACACTAAGCTGCACATATGCGTGTGGAAAGTAAGACACAGTTAAGGTTTGTTAACACAAAGTGAGCATTTTATGAGTTCAATGACTTATAACTTTAGAAGGAGCCTAAATAATAATAAAAATAATTTGGATTTATATAGCGCATTTCAAGAAACCCAAGGAGGATTTTTGTCCCCCCACGGCAAAAAGGAAAAACAAATATGAAGATAAAAAACTGAAATAAACAAAAGCTGGTCAC